GCGAATTCGATGTATACATACAACAGCGCCTCATACACAATGACTAATTAGGCGGACCCTGGCTAGTGAAGAGGCCGATCTCGGACAGAGAACTATAAAGAAAAACTAGAATCATAGCTACTCCTAAGTCGGATCTGGCCACCTCTCCACCCCAGTATTTTCGAGTTTGGATATCCCCCCCCCCCATACACATATACCTGCGCTCCAAAATTAAGCTGAAACCCTTTGGACATCAAAATTTGCCCCACAAAATGCAGGAAATAGCGTTTCAGAGGGTCTAGATTTCAAAATTTTGAAGGGAGAGCATGCCTCCAGACTCTCTAGTAAGGTCACAAGGCGCAAGTGCGCAGATCTCGCCTCCACGCAAAATTACGTGTCGCCGCCTCTGACTGCACCACCATTTTTACCTAAAACTCAATTGATGTAATATAAATATATTGCGTGACCATGACAACTCCGACGATCGTTGGACATAAGAATGCTAATAAATATGTAAGTTAGTAATTTTCTTCGCCAATATGCGTGGATAGATAACCTCGGGAACCATGCATTAGTATACATATACTAATTTTGAGCAAAACAATACAATCTTGTTATTTTACACGCGTCGTACACGTCGTGAGCACGTGGGACCCATATCAGATACGTCGATAACAAATATAATAATTTGTTTGTTTTTCGTTATTTTCAACCAGCACGAAATTTTAAAAAAAAAGTATTTTTTTAAAATGCAAAAATTACATTTTTGGAACAATTTCTATGTTGAAGCATTAGTTTCACAAAAAATAAAAAGTATTCATCAAAATTTAAAATCTCATTACAACATATTATTCTGTCACCATACGTGACCGAATGAACCAATGTTCAATGTTTTGTACGAAAAGTAGTTTGGCGATCTTATATTTTTATCTATTTTTTAAACATAAAATCTAATCATATTTTGAAAATCTGGGAAATCTGATCATCTGATAGCTATCTTTATATGATATCTACATTACGTTCGATTTCATAACCAGTCATTTGTAAGCTTCTTTTTAACAAGTTGAATATATATCTCACAAATATACTCTACGGGTATTCAGATTTTATAGCTTATATTTTGTCTTCAGTGTGTGTATGAATTATGAAAAACAAGTTCTCTGTATATTTCAAAAAATCGTAAACTATCAAAAATAACGTTGATACTCACAATACACTGCAGAATCAACATACTCTGATAAAACTGAAACTTTTATAGTAAAATACCTGCTTAAAAATTGACTAGACTAGAAGTGAGTCAATGTCGCCCGATTCCGTCTTCGTGCACAGAGTGGCTAAAACAGTGTTTTCTGGCAACATGGAATTATTATGACCATGTGTATTTAACTTCACCATCAGAAAATGCAATAATAATCAAAACAGCACAATTTAACCCAATTTTACGATAATTTTGAAAATTACTATATAACTACTTATTACTATCTCTGTTATTATTATCCCACTCAGGGAAAATATTATCTACCTTGTTGTTGGGACCATTCGGGAATAATATTATCTCTTTTGATGTTGGGACCATTCGGGAATAATATTATCTCTCTTGTTGTTGGGACCATTCGGGGAAAATATTATCTCCCTTGTTGTTTGGACCATTCGGGGATAACATTATCTTCCTTGTTGTTGGGACCATTCGGGGATAATATTATCTCTTTTGTTGTTGGGACCATTCGAGGATAATATTATCTCCCTTGTGGTTGGGACCATTCGGGAATAATATTATCTCTTTTGTTGTTGGGACCATTCGTGGATAATATTATCTCCCTTGTGGTTGGGACCATTCGGGAATAATATTATCTCTTTTGATGTTGGGACCATTCGGGAATAATATTATCTCTTTTGTTGTTGGGACCATTCGAGCATAATATTATCTCCCTTGTTGTTGGGACCATTCGGGGAAAATATTATCTCCCTTGTTGTTTGGACCATTCGGGGATAATATTATCTTCCTTGTTGTCGGGACCATTCGGGGATAATATTATCTCTTTTGTTGTTGGGACCATTCGGGGATAATATTATCTCTCTTGTTGTTTGGACCATTCGGGGATAATATTATCTCTTTTGTTGTTGGGACCATTCGTGGATAATATTATCTCTTTTGTTGTTGGGACCATTCCGGGATAATATTATCTCTTTTGTTGTTGGGACCATTCGTAGATAATATTATTTCTTTTGATGTTGGGACCATTCGATCATAATATTATCTCCCTTGTTGTTGGGACCATTCGGAGATAATATTATCTCCCTTGTTGTTGGGAACATTCGGGGATATATTATCTCCCTTGTTGTTGGAACCATTCGGGAATAATATTATCTCCCTTGTTGTTGGGACCATTCGGGGATAACATTATCTCCGTTGTTGTTGGGACCATTCGGGAATAATATTATCTCCCTTGTTGTTGGGACCATTCGGGGATAACATTATCTCCCTTGTTGTTGGGACCATTCGGGGATAATATTATCTCTCTTGTCGTTGTTGGGACCATTCGGGGATAATATTATCTCCCTTGTTGTTGGGACCATTCGGAGATAATATTATCTCCCTTGTGGTTGGGATCATTCGGGAATAATATTATCTCTCTTGTTGTTGGGACCATTCGGGAATAATATTATCTCTATTGTTGTTGGGATCATTCGGGGATAATATAATCTCCCTTGTTGTTGGGACCATTCGGGAATAATATTATCTCCCTTGTTGTTGGGACCATTCGGGGATGACGTTATCTCTTTTGTTGTTGGGACCATTCGGGGATAATATTATCTCCCTTGTGGTTGGGACCATTCGGGAGTAATATTATCTCCCTTGTTGTTGGGACCATTCGGGAGTAATATTATCTCCCTTGTGGTTGGGGCCACCCAGAGCTAATATTATCTCCCTTGATGTTGCGCCACTCAGGGATAATATTATTATCCGAGCCCGACGTCCGAATTAACGCGACTTCATGGAATGTTCTTTCAATTTCTTCCATCATTGCATCTTGTTATTAATTTTATTTCAGCCCAAAGGCAACTTCCCTCTCCGGGTGGT